AGATTGAGAGGACCTCATCAATGAAAATATATCCGCTGTTCTTGAAACATTTATATTGCTAACAGTACTATGCAAAACAATATACAAATTCACTGCAATCCTTATCAAAAATCCAATGTTTTTTTGTACAAATAGAAAAACACATTAAAGTCTAAACAAAATTTCAAGGAACGTCAAATATCTGAAACTAATAACGAAGTAGAAAAAATAGGAAAGTCTAAAATTGTGTGCTTTCTAAATTTACTACAAATACATGATAATCAAAACAGACCAGAACTGGCATTAATCACAAACAATTAGATCAATGAAATTGAACACAAGGCTTCAAAATAAATCCTTGCACATTGCGTGTCTGGTCACATGATTTTTGACAGGAGTGCCAAGAGTTCTTATTTGGTGCTTAATGGAGAATCTTTTCAACAAATGGTATAGGACACACTAGATATTAACTTGCAAAAGAATGAGGCTGTTTCCTTATCTAATATTTTATGAAAATTTAAAGTGAATCAAAAACTAAAACTGTAAAACACTTGAACAAAAGCATAGGAGAAAAGCTGTATGATACTTGACAGTTTTTTTTTTTACATGTCAGCCAACAACACAAGCCATAAGAATATAGAATTAAGGTTACCCAAAATCATTCCTAAAATAGAATCAATAGGGTGAAAAGCAACTCAGAAAATAAAAGAAATTATTTGTAAATTACATATTTTACACAAATTAATATAAACATTGTATAAAGATCTCCTACCAGTGAGAAATTGTTTGAAAGTCTATCAATTTAAACAAGCAAGGAAAGGACTTAAGGATACATTTAAACAAAGAAGGCATACAAATTACCAAGAAGTGCTACAAAAGAAGGTAGCCGAAAAAAAACTATTGAAGAAATAAAAGTGAAAGTCAAAAATAGGTTATTCCATACACGTTAGAGTGGTTTTTATCAAAAAAAAAAAGGGGGGGTGGGGAGATGTTAACGGAGTTATACATAACTTGAAATGCTGAGGAATTTTTATTGGGAATTTTACATGGTTCAATTACTGTGAAAAAGGAAGATGGCTACTGAAAATTTAAAGACAGAATCATAACGTAGAATTCAGAAATTCTACTTCAAGATTTAAAACTTAATGCCTTAAATGTCATTGATTTATACACTTAAATATGATTAAAATGTAAAAAATATAGTCTGTGTGTGTCTTAACTCCAGTTTTTTAACTTTTAGTTACTTTATGATTGATTTTAATTTGTTGGTTTAGATGCTTTTTGTTTTTATCCTGATAGTTACATACACATAGTTACATACACATTTTATCTCCTCTCTGTGATCCTTTCTCTGTTTTCAGGGCTTTAAAAATTTTCTTGTTTATTTGTTCTTTATTCCTCTTATTTTGGGAAAGTTTTACAAGTTTTTCTTCTGCTTTCTACTCAACATATGGTTCCTAGACAAACAATCTCACCTTCTAGCGTCATCTTGGAAATATAAAAATCATAGACCCCTCCCCCAGTTCTGACATGGAACCTGAATTGTAACAAGATCCCTCAATTTCTCAATAAAATTTAAGAACATCATTAGCATGATTTTGAGTGATGCCAGTTTTGTCTCTGTATTATCTATCTCTATATCTTTTTATCAAAATATCCATCATTGGCATCAACAATTATAAATCTAATTTTTAAACTTTTCTACCGTGTTCTTCTTTATCCAAAGAACCACAGTTTCTGAATTGTGAATGCTGAGCATCATTCGTAGATTCTAGAATAAATGAGGTCTGGAAGACATATTGCAGTGCAAAATTCAAATTCTCAGGATTTGAATTGCTGTTTCTGTCTTCTAGTGGCTCAATTCGTGTTACAGAAAGAGCTCAATCAATATTAGGTAAAATTTTTATGTGACTAGCTGTTTTCTGTCCTGGACATGAGGATGATAAGCCTCACCACTTTGTTTATCCATAACTTTAGTATCTCTCCATTCATGTTCTTTTTCTCTGGTTTTATTTTGTGCTTTTCTGCCTTAAAAATATGACTATTTATTTTAAAAAGGAGTATATTCAGTGTAGACATATCTCCTACTGTATTATCCCTACCTTTTTCTGTTTTTCTGTCAGCAATACACATTGGAGGCATTGAGTCTAAGCATTGCTGTCTTGCAGTAACAAAATAAAAAGGAAACAATTGGAGAAAAAACTAGAAAGGAAGTACTGAAGAATAAAATAATAGAGACCCTAAAGCCAATTATATTTTACCTCAACAGGTTGTCCTCACTCTTAGAAATAGGAGCAGAATTCTCAAGTTTACATAGATAAAGTTTACATAGATTTGAGACGTGGGACTAGATATTTATAATACAAGAATAGTCCTCGTGGGTTGAAAAAAAAGTCAGGGAATATCTCAAAGTTGTCGGAGTTACACAAATCAATCCCAGATGTCACTGGTGTTTATTTACCTTTGGTGGTCCTCCATTCGCTAAGATGTGCTGGCCAATTTGCATGATTGCCCTGACCCAGAGTCCGTTCTCATAGCCTGGCATACGTTTATGCAGCTTAGGTGAGGGTTTTATAACCAAAAGAGGGTTTCTGGCAGTGCTGCACAGCTTCCTTGGTTACTCTTTGCTTTCCCGACTGCCCACTCTTCGCTTGGCGTTTGTTCCAGCAGCCCATCAGAGCTCTTTCTTGCTCTGATTCTTCACCTCTGGGCTTATCTGTTGTAGTGTGAGTGGGCTGTGATGTCTTCCTCTCTAATCCGAAGAGGGTTTTTTTTTTTTCCCCCTGGAGGGTGGTTATCCTTCCAAATGCAAAGCAGGAATGGATGTTTTCTACCTATTCTTCAATTAAGTGACAAAGGGGAACTCCTTCGTATATTCAGTATTATATCAGAATGATAAGATCAGGAAAACAGTTGTGCTGTGCATATTCTCACTAATTTCTTTAACTTCATGTTCTGGTTTTCCTGCAAGGAATGTTCATGGAGCAGTCTACATTGTCATGATAGGTGTTAATCTGCTGCATATGATGTCACCAATTGGAGTGTGATAGTGCCTGTGTGTTTGTGTGTATGTCATGTGTTTGACAATGGTTTATAGAATGTATAAGAAAACAAAGTAAGCAGTGGTAATCTCAGTGATTGACTGTACAAGTGAATAATTAGAAAAATAAGTAGAAAAAATGAAAACTCTCAACATTTCCAGAGCTTAAGTCCACCCAAGGATGATTGAAAATGTTACAACATTTGGAAAAGCCCTTTTTCATCATCGGCATAGAATATATCGTGTATGTTCATATGGCATGCATGTCATTTGTATAGAAAAAAGCATCATTGACCTCTTTTAAATTTGTTGACACTTTCTCTCACTCCGCACCATCACTGAAGTGTGCAACTTTCCTTTGGTCTGATGCTAAACAGAGCATGCATTTAGGTTAAATGAGATAAGCCTCTCCTAATTGGTACTAGCTTAGGCTTGTTTGTTTGTTTGTTTTTGGTTGTTGATAGGTCAAGACTGGTGCATGTTACCTAAAGTATTAATCAGGTTCTTGTGAATATTCACAGGAAAGACTACAAAATGTAGAAACCTAAGAACTGATGGGCTGGCACTGAGAGACATCAGGTTAAGTTACTGAGATGCAGTGCAACCAGTTATTGTGCAGCTACATTTTATTAAAAGTTAACCTCCCTATATACTTCCTTTTTAAAAAAGATTTTCAAATGTTTTATTTGAAAGATAGGATTAGAAACACAGAGAGAGAGAGAGAGAGAGAGAGGGAGAGACAGAGAGAGAGAGAGCGCTTCTATTAGTTGGTTCACCTCCCAACCAGCTGCAATGGCCAGAGCTGCACTGATCTGAAGCCAGGAGCTAGGAGCTTCTTCCACATATCCCATGTGGGTGCAGAAGCCCAGGGACTTGAATCATCCTCCACTGCTTTCCCAGGCCACAAGCAGGGATTTAGATCAGAAGTTCCATAGCTGAAACAGAAATCTATGCTTATATGGGATGCCAGTAGTATAGGCACAGGCTTAGCCTACTGTCTCATGGTACTGGTCCCAACAATGCAGCTATTTTAATGTTGCTCATGGATGTGAAATAGCTGAGGTCTTAACTCCGCAGTGTTGTTGCTCTTATGAGTTCTTTGTACTAGAGAGCATAGAGAGCCATTAAATAAGGAGACAAGACCAGAGCTGAAGTTAACGTTAGAAACCCTTGATTGTCCAAAGTCTGTACGACTCCACAAATAACATTATAAGATTTTAAGTGAGTTTTGTGGAAGGAAACATGGAGGGTCATTAGACTAATTCTGTGCCTAGAGTGGCAGAATATGCCAGTTCTAATCCTAGTTGCTCTGTTACTCATCCAGGTCCCTGGGATAACCTGGGAAAGCAGTGGAGGCTGGCTTAAGTCCTTGGGTCCCTGCACCGATTTGGGAGAGATGAAATGAAGCTCCTGGCTTCTGGCTCCTGGGACCTGGGCTCCTAGCTTTAGATCAGCTCAACTCTAGCTGTTGTGGCCATTAAGGGAGTGAATCATCATATGGAAGATTCTCTCTCTCTCTCTATAAATATACCTTTCAGATAAGAAAAAAATGGTTTTCTGTTTTTGGTCCAACCTAGTGACTACAGTTAATAGTAACATACTGTTTAATTGAAAATTGCTAAGTAGATCTTAGGTCTACAAACAGGACATAATTATGTGAGATAATGCATATGTTAATCAACTCAATTCAGCCACCTACAGTGTAGAAATACTTCAAAATATTGTGCATAGACTATAAAAATATACGATTGTTATTTGTAAATAAAATGTTTTTGAATAATACCATTTGTGTTGTTTTTCTTATTAAACCTGGTTTTTAGCATGTAGAAGACTTTGTCATTCAAGGTTCTCAGTATAGATTGTGAGTGTTGTTCAGTTGGGTTACCTATAGGCAAAGATATTCTCCTTGTGGTTTGGCTTGTGTTTTACCTGCTGCAAGTCTCATACCGTCGGTAACATCTCCCATCCTTCTGTATTTCAGAATTACCACCACAGCAGCCTGCATGATGGACCTCAGAAGATATCCGCTGGATGAACAGAACTGCACTTTGGAGATTGAAAGCTGTGTGTATCTGTGTCTAGGTTTCATCTTCCTCCACGTTGTGTTTTAGGTCCTTATGTTATTGTTTAGCATCTTTAACAAGGCACCCTAATTTTCTTGACATTGCTTTTAACTGTCTTTGAAATTAGAGGGTTAATTGTTCACTATACAGATTCACTGTCATACTGAGGAGACATAGGAGAGAGAGTCCAAGGAGATATTAAATCAGCTATGCTTAGATCTATCTATCTATCTATCTATCTATCTATCTATCTATCTATCTATCTATGCCATGCATCTCAGTCCATTCAATAAGAGACCAGACAATGAGATACAGTTTTTCACTCATAGTTCATTATGTGTGAGTGCCTGAACTTCTAGGACCCTGGGCAGTAGGGGTAAAATTTGTTTCCCTTTACAATGCTGTCCTTACAAGAAAACTGTTTCTGATCTTGGTAATTTTCTCCAATTGGAAGAGTATTCAGACACTTTACTAATAATTCAGAGTACTTGTAGGTGAAGCATGAGAACTGTGTAATATTTAACCAGCAGCCACCCTTCCGAGATCCAAACTTCACCTCTTGTTAGACTCAGAGGTTGGTATTATCATTTACATTGACCAGTTATATAGTCTGGTTTATAACTGGATGCAGTTGGGTTGAGGCTTGACAACATAGCAAATTTTTACTGGTAAGTAGTTTGACTTGCACTGTCACTTGATAGACACTTATAACAAGATGTGAATGTCTTTGTAGATAAATGTGTGGGGAAATTGGTGGTGGGCTGGTATGCAGGTCCTGAATGAAGCTGGCCCCACTGTGCCTTCATTTCCACCAACAATACTGTTATGTATGTAATTTATCTGGGGGTCTTTCCCATAAAGGACAGAAGACTTGGGGTAAAGTTAATGCATTTTTCATAGCTGAAGCACTGTCCTAAAACGTTCAGTGGATTCTCTATTGCCAGAGGTCATAACTGCAATAGAATAGTGGATGTTTCAGGAAAGCAAATTGTGGAATCTCAGTAGAGAAGCGGCTCTTATCCCGACTGTCTGAGAATACATGGAATGCCTTCTAAGAGTGTGCATTCTATTCCTGTGATATGTTGCTGCCATGGATAATGAGCAGGAAGGTCTGATATAATATTCTGTCAGTATGTGAGGCCTTTCCCTAGCAGAGAACCAATGGTTAAAACAGTTGCAAAATAAAAAAAAAAGATTTTCTTAATTTTCTGCTGGTTTGATTATGTATATCTGTGTAAGAGAAATGGACAGCAGAAAGATAGGCTTTTTTTTCTAAGTATGATGTAATCTTCGTTGGTCATCAGATACTTACTAAGCATCAACTCTAGAGAGCTGCTGTTGTAAGTTCAGGGATATACTGAGAACAGAGACACTTTGCCAGCCTTGTGGAGCTTAGAATTCAGAAATGACAGTATACAAATAGATGAGGCACAGTTATAGATGACCTGAAGAATATAAAATCCGGTAAAAGACTGACAAGTGGAATCGGAAGGTTCTGTCTGTGTCAATAAGAAAATGCAATGAAGAATGAGCTCTATGAAGGTCTCAGAGTAGGTCCAATCAGAGAGCTCGGAAGTCCTGCTTCACAGCAGCCTGTCTGAACTGTAAGAGAAGACCCCTAACATGGGCTGAGTGAGCATGGGAGTGGAGGCTCTTTTTAAAAGATTTATTTATTTTGTTTATTTTGAAAATCAGACATACAGAGAGGAGGAGAGACAGAGAGTCAGATCTTCCATCTGCTGGTTAACTCCCCATGTGACCACAACGGCCAGAGCTGACCCAATCCAAACCCAGTAGCTAGGAGCCAGGCACCTCTTCTGGATTTTCCATGTGGGTGCAGGGTCCCAAGGCTTTGAACTATCCTCAACTGCTTTCCCAGGCTACAAGCAGGGAGCTAGATGGAAAGCAGCATGGCCGGAACACGAACGGACACCTATAAGGTATCCTGGCATGTGCAAGGTGAGGACTTTAGCCATTAGGCTATCACGCTGGACTTGGAAGTGGAGGCTTTTAGGGACAAGTTATATGGGACTGTGTGTTCCTTATAGGGAATTTGGATTTGTTGCTTGAGCTAGAAAATATTTGGGAGTTAAGCAGATGAATGTCATGGTAAAAGTTATGTGCTTTGTTAAAGATTGTTGTGATTGTCAGGCCAGAATAGAATGTAAGGAAATGAGAAGGAAAGGAGCAGACCTTAGGTGTTACCGCCCTGATGCTCACGATCAGGACATCAGACAGGACTAGCAAGTTGTGGGGAGCAGTCAGTACTGCAACTTTTTGTCTTTTGTCTGTATATCTTTTGTCTGTATGTCTAGTAGGAACCATATGTCTACCTTTTTGTGGTGCTTTATGTTGGGACAAATAGTTCTATTGTATTCAGCTCATCGTTTTCTCCATATCTTTGTTTTAGTCTGTCTTACTCATAAAGTTTGTCTAATGTTTTAGGAGATTCCTGAGTATTGCAAGTAGTGCTGCCCATTGTTGTCGTGTGTGCTCATTTTCCAGATGCACCTGTTGACTAACAAATTGGCATGAACTCTATGGCGTGGGCTGACTTTAGATCTATAATCCGGTTTATGCTCACCCCTTATCTGAGAGCACTTTGCTCAATGCTGTAAGGATTAGGAGTGTCTCAACAAGACATTGCTAAAGTTGACCAGCCTCATGGCCAGGAACAGTAGACAAAACAACCCTAGAATTCAGGATATGTCACTGTCCATCAAGTAACTGTTTAATGGTTAAATTTACTCTGTCTTTCCACTTTCCAGTAGCTTTTGAGATGCATTTCTCCTTCATAAGTCCTCATACTTGACATCTTATTTTCCCCTACAATCATCTTATTCATTGATTCTAAGATGTTTTAAATGCACTTCTCTGTGATATCTGGGCTGGGTCTAAAGCTCCATTTTGCAGACAGAACTCCCATCAGAGCATCTGGCTTCTGTAACTTCTCCAGTCTTCAACACCAGCAGGTACAGAGTGGAGGCAACGCAAGGATGTCCGAAAGTTAGGTCTTAGACGGTACTGCTAGCAGAGAAGCAGGTTAAAGTATCTGCTTCAAACATGGCACAGCTGTAACTTCCATTTCATTCATGGTCATGTCTCTAGCCACACATTTTCACAAAGCAATGACGTGTCACATGCTCATGCGCCTCCTTCTCTCTCCTGGCAGATGGCTACACCACAGATGACATTGAATTTTACTGGCGTGGCGGGGACAAGGCTGTCACTGGCGTGGAAAGGATCGAACTCCCACAGTTCTCCATTGTGGAGCACCGTCTGGTCTCAAGGAATGTCGTCTTCGCCACAGGTGAGCCCGTGGTCTGCTCATGATGCCTGTACTGCTGTGATAGCCTCCTCACTACTCCGCGAGTCAGTCACAGTGCAGGGTCTTCCTCTTTTCCTTCATATCTAAAGCTTTGCTCACTGGAGAAGTCAGCAGTCTTGGGCTGAATACAGAAAGGTGAAAGATTGAGGGTGAATCAACCAGCTAGTATTTGAAAACAAACAAACAAACAAACAAACAAAAAAGCACTTGTTATGAGGCAAATAAAAGACAACTGATGGCCTTGGAGGCAAGAAGGAAGGGGAACTAGGAAGACCAGTGGAGATGGCTCTGTGCTCCTTCTTAGTTAATCCTCTTCTCTCTGGGCTAAAGTTCAGCTTTGGAGCTGTGGACTGAGGGTTACCTGCGGTTATTCTTGCATCCTCACATGATGCTCTCTGGTTAAAGTCGCACTGACTTCAGTTTCGATGTTGCCTTTGTTTCAGCTGTCAAAGTCAATTGCCTTCTGTTCTGTCTGTTCTTGCTGAGATGTTGCTAAAGTTGTATAGATGTTTATTTTATACCACCTTCTTAGTAGTTTTGTTTTCTTAGTGAATGCTGTGTATTATACTTAATGAGCATAGAGTTTTCTCAGCTATAACATGACATTCAGACTAAAGACACTGGGTTAAAAGAGCTAAGGGAATACAAAACTGACTATGTGGTTTGAGCAACAAGTAATAGGGATTAGTTTTAAATCTGGAATGACATTCATGAACCAGCAGGTCTACTCTCTCTGCCTATTTCCTGTGGCTTGAATGTTGTTGACCCACAGTCACCTGCTTCGCCTGCTCCTAGCCAGCTCTGACTCATCACTCAGCTTCACTTAGATGCCACTTCCTCTGTGCAGCCTTTTTGATCTCCTGAATCCAGCACAGTCCCCGGGTCAATGTATCTCCACGGTGCTGCAGCAACCACCTACACACCTCGCTGTCAGCTCACTGCACATGCTACTTCAAGGGAACAGCTCCCTGAGGAGGGATCTGCCCTGGTCTTGACTTATCCTCTCCTTGTCCCTAGTTTGAATAATGACCAATATTTCATGTGTACACCATTAAGTGAAAAGAGTCAAGGTCATTCCCGCAGTCCCTTGTCCCTACCTAGCTTCCAGAAACCAATGTGCAAGGTAAGGAGAATAAAAATTGTGGGATTTTAAAACACGAACAAGTGCACATTTGTTCAGTGTTGCCTTATCTTCGGTCACAAGAAGTCCTCCAAATGTCCTACAGTCTCTTTGGAAGACCTACTAAGGTCCTTTCCTCTGTTGGGTAACGAGAACCTGTGGGAATGTGGTTTATCCCTAAGGGATCATGTCCACAATCAAGAAAACTGCCCCATAGAGTATTTAATAAAGTGATCTGTCATTCCAAAACCTGATGAAAGCGGTTCCACGCTCCAGGTGGCACCTAACACAGGGGAGGGCAGGATTCTCCCAGTGCAATTACCCTGCCCACACTCACCTTTGTCTAGAAATTGCAGTTGTGGCTGTGAGAGTGTTGCTGTGGGGGTCTTCTACTGCTTTTCCATGAAGCCTCGTCAGAAAACTTAATGGAGACTCTGTGGAGAATGCACCATTGGCACAGATGCTGCCACCAGTTGGACCAGTGTGTCTGGACCCAGTGAAGCCCCTTAGAGCTTTCTTCACTAGATGGAGTCTCTGCTTTTCTTTTAGATATATACATGTTGGAAAATATCCATCATATCTTAGCGAATATTAGTGAACATCTTATGGATATTCAGAGAAAATGCACACTACTGGGGTGTGGAGAATCTTCGAAGTATTTGCAAACCCATTAGCATGGCATGTCATATATGCCTTCTAGCGCTTACAGGGTACAGCACAGGTCTCGACACCAGTCAGTTTAAAACACATCCTTTAAAGAGCTTGAAATCTGAAACTGTTCTAGTTCACCTAGATATGAAGAAATGACCTCAGCCACACTATAAAAATATTTTAAAATTGTCTGTTAGCTTAATTTATCTTTCTTTTAAGGATTTAAACTAGTGAGACTTAGGCCAGTATGTGAACTCTAGCTGAGAAATAATTCTCAATAAAAGGATTAGGCAAAAATGTTCTGGATGTTTATTGGACACTTGGCAAATGAGATGTTGAGGATTCTGTAGGGATTCTACCCACTGCTACTTCTGTCATATGAGAAAAACAAGGCAGGTACATGAAAGTCACAGAATGGTGGCTGGTGGCTGCAAGATCAGCGGAGTTAAAATTTTCAGGAGATGGTGTTATGGGCCAGTGGGTTAAGCTACCATTTGTGGCGCTGGCATACATGCAGCCTAGAAAACAGTGAAGATATCCCAATGGAGAGATCCAAAGGGAGTTTTAGGGTTTTGGCTTAGCCTGGTCCAGTGCTGGCTGTGTGGACATTTGCGGAGTGAACTAGCAGGTAAAAGAGTCTCTCTCTCTCTCTCTCTCTCTCTCTCTCTCTCTCTCTCTCTCTCACACACACACACACACACACACACACACACACACACACACACACACATTTACTCTATCTGTGTTTGTTTTTCTGTTATTCTGCCTTTCAACTAAAGAAACTAAAACAAAACATGAAAATTGTTCCAAGGACTCTTGATCAGAGTCCTGGAAGAGAGATTGTGTACCAAGCCTGCTTCGCCCTTGTGTTAACACTTTGAAGACCTTGTGTGTGACTTCTTGCTGTTTTTTTGGCTAGGATTCATTCAATCTACCCTATTGACATTGCAGGGAACACTTTCAAAAGTGAAGCATCAGTATGGCCCTTGGAATTGGTGTGAGCCAAGCATGGGACAAGGCTGTGGATTAGAGAGAGGTGTAGAAGGGTCTTGGCCAGTAGGATTTCTCGGTGGAGCTCCATGGTTCCAGTGATATTCCCCACCTGGCTTATCTGACAAAGGCATTTTGAGCAGAAAATAAGCCCCAAGAGAAATTTCTGAAACCTGCTCAAGACACAGCATATCCAGGGTTTAAAATCCCAGACTCTGGAGCCAGATGACCAAAGCTTATGTCCCAACTGGCCTTTTTAGCAATGCAGATAAAACTAATGCAACTTCTCTGTGTAGCAGAGCTATGAATAGTGTTTATTTGATAGGATTGATGAAAAGATTATGTGGATTAGGATAAATACAGGCTCTAGAACAGGACCTGGCTGATAGTAAACAATGATTAAGTATCATTAATTAAAATCTGTGGGATCAGAGATGGAGGCATATTTTGTAGAACCTAAAAATAAACACCACAGTAGTTGACTAGAGCTTTGCACATTACAAACATTGGGACTTAATTCCACCGGATTATTGTCCATTGAGAACTGACTCATAATTGCCAACTGGAGTAAATCTTTAAGATTAGAAACGATTTTGATTTCGTATTTGTATTCTTAACACATATCCCGGTGCCTAACTTACTGTATAAACCATAAAATCAAGAATTACTGAATTTAGAGGAAATCTGACCATTATTGCAAGCATATGTTCAAATGATTAAGTTCTATGGGAGAGAAAAATATATATAAATATGTGTTATGACATTGAATTGTTTGCCTCAATATACCCAAATCTTATGTTTTGACAAAAAAAATCAACATAATGCATAATGTCTCTTTTACCCTAGTGGAAATTAAGTGTGCCTTTGTTCAGAAGGAAAAAATGGAATTCCATAATTGTGTTTTGAAGATATGGTAGTGGTAGCTGATTTAATTACTATGAAGAAATGATTATTACTTTTTAACATTGTTTAATAATGATATTTTGAGGAAAAAATCAACTTATTTACAACTACGAAGAAAGCAAAGCAAATGCATTTATTCTAGTTTTTAACTGTAGTGACAGCATGCTAATTTTTGATTTTGTCCCTTCTTGTTTTAAGGAGTTGTTACTAATTTCCCTTGGACATTATAATATATACAGATATATAAAGAGAGAGAAAGAGAAAAGCAGAGAGAGAGAGAGAGATAGTAATTTCAACAGTTCCGTGCAGTACAGCTGGAGATGCTATTCTCAGATGCAGAGGAACTCTTGATAAATAAATAAATTTAAGCTTATTTGTTTTCATTTGAAAGGAGAATATATATATATATATTTAAGATTTATTTGTTTTAATTTGAAAATTTAATTAGAAAAATTTAATTTGTCTTAATTTGAAAGGAGAATTTACAAAGACAGCTTTTTGTTTTCATCCTTTAGTTCACTCCCTAGGTGGCCTCAGAAGCTGGAGCTGAGCTAATCTATGGCCAGGAGCTGTGTTACCCACATTGTTGCCGGGGCTCAAGGACTTGAGCTGTCCATCCTTCACTGTTTTTGCAGTGCTTAAGCAGGGAGCTGGATCAGGTGTAGAGCAGTCAGGACATGCACTGGCCCCTCTGATGTGTGATTTGAGACACTGCAAAAACTGCCATTTCTAAACATTATTAAGCAGAGAATTTGCTGCACTTGTATCTACTACTTTTATAAAATTTCTTAACAAACATGATATACATAAATATTTTTATCCCTCATCCTGGAATGGTTGCAATTTGATAAGCAATGTATGATGTGCTCAGCCTTCCTCCTTCCTTTATGGCCACGTGTGAATGGGCCATAACTTTTAAAAAATAATAATTACAGAGAGAGACAGAGAGATCTTCTGGGTTTCTCACATGGGTACATGAACCCAAGCATTTGTATAATCTTCCACTGCTTCCCCAGGCACATTAGCAAGGAGCTGGATCAGAAGTGGAGCTGCTGACATTTGACCCGGAGTCCTTGTTGGATGCAATGGCTGAATTTACTATGCCAGGAAGCTGTCCCCCATAGCTTCTTGATGATCCACCCTTTTATTCAGGTTTCCAAAACTGGATGTTGGAATTGGAAGCCCCAAATCCTCACTCAGGACCCTGGGATTTCCTAATCCAATACACAGATTTTCTAATCTGCTGCTAGAAGAGCCTACTGTTTCCAGACCTGCTTTCCCTTGCTGTGTATTAGGAGTCCTACAACCTCATACACTC